TTTAGGGATTTAGGGTCTATAGGGTTTGGGATATTGCCACGATCCGAACATCAGCAAGCGCAATAAATGAAAACATGTCATAACAGACTGCTACGACTGAGGATCATGGTGGTGACGACGATGCGTGATATACGACGAGGAAAGACACAGGTGACGAATCACAGCAGGAACCCCTGAACACCGCCAAAAGTGCGAAACTCTGCTGAAAACCAGTAAAACCCTAAACCCTAAACCCCAAAACCCCAACACCCCAAAACCCCCGAACCCTAAACCCTAGTAAACCCTTTTAACCCAAACTGTATAAGATCCTACAGAAGCCTTTAGACCCCAGCCCCTAAACCTTAAACCTTACACGCCCCCAGCCCCTCATCGACATCTGGGACTGCCAGCACAAAACTGATGGGTCTTGAGTCGCGGGTTTCAGGGGAGGCTTCGATCTTCGGATTTGGGCGAGTCAAGTTGGCCCTTGGGTTTCGGGCTGGCTCCCTAAACCCCTAAACCCCTACACCCTAGTAAACCCCTAAACCCTAAACCCCTAGAGCCTAAGCCCCTAAAACCTAAACCCCTAAACTGTGGGATTTGGGTTTTGGCGCTTCCGAAGTCGGATCCAAGCGGCACAGCCAGCCAACATCATGGCCATGCGCATCCTCGTAGGCTTCGACTCCACCCAGGAGCAGTTCGTGAGGGCCTCTGCGTGGTTCTCATGCTTCCGAGGGCCTTCATCGACTAGACACAGGTTTTGGGGCATGCTGTAGAACAAAACAACGGCAAGCTGTAAGGGCATAGCAGTACTCCTCACAAATCCTCAGATAAATAAAGGGTGGTATTATGACATTGTTAAAAACTATCTCAAGCTTCTATATCAAGAGACGTTCGTGATGCGAAACCTTGAGGGTTTTCGAGGAAATAGGGTGTTGGAGCCACTGTGGCTTTGAGTGCCAAACCCTTTCATAAACGGCTCGGGCAAAAGGTCCGATACCCTAAACCCGACACCCTAGTAAAAGCTTTCATTCTGAAGCGCTACGGAACCCTAAACCCTAAACCCTAAACCCTAAACCCTAAACCCTAACCCAGGCTCCGGAGGCCTTTGCGAAGCGCGCATCGAGGCCGTGTCGCTCCATGGCCTTGTTACCCATTAGGCTCCATAGTAGTTCCTTGTTGGGATTACCTTATAGGATCCTAAATATAAACCACAAAAAGGAACTACTATGGAGCCTATGAGTATAGCCGTCCGGAGCTTAGGATGTTATGCGCTGCTTACGGTTGAATGCTTTGGGTCCCCGCCACACCTACCTCAATTTCTAAAGCACGCTGTGTTCTTCACATAATGAGTTTCGGTCTTTCGCAACCTTGTGAGACCTGTTCTTTCCACACCCGAAACAGGCTCGGATGGGGGGGAGCTCTGATGATGTTTGTTGCGCGTGGTGACGGAACACATGAACAGGAAATGAAGCGCTGTGTTGAAACCGGCAAGTTGTACATCCCTTTATGTGTCTGTAAACTGCTGCGCGTGCTCACGCAGCTTTGCATTACTGTCTCTTCTGCAATTCAGGCTGTATGTTGCAAAGCCTTGCTATCTGCTGCTATGCTGCTGTCATTGATGCATACATGCTATAGTTAGTAGCAGCCTGGAACAAAAGCAACGCCCCTTTCTACGAGGATCTCCCCCCAAAGTACTCAATTTAATTGCCGACTAGCCCGGCAACATTTGGCGGCTAAGAGATGCAATCATTCATTGGACACGATCGTCCGTTTCGGGATGAGAGGCTTCAAGGGTTCCCCTGAACATTAAACGTCAATAGTATAGGGCTGAGTGTCTATCCAAAAAGCGCCCCCTAGACCCATAACAGTGATTGATATTTCCCAAAAAACCTAGACAAATACCCAACTCCTGGAACCTTAAAACCAAAAGCCGCCTTTATAGACCAAGAGTCGATAGAGATGAAGGAGCTTCCGAAAAGTACCAGCGTCACATTGCTGAAGTAAGCGGAGAGAGAGCGGCCGAGACGACAGACGTCCAGCAGAAAGAGGAGCGGCCCCACCATCATACCTATCCGAATTTCAGTACGGTGTAGGGTTTAGGGTTTAGGGTTTAGGGGTTTAGGGGTTTAGGGGTTTAGGCTTTAGGGGTTTAGGGTTTAGGATTTAGGGTAGGGTGTGGGGTTTTGGCCTAAATAAATGCTATAGCACGTGGGGTGTTCGAGCTCAAAAGTGCATGTTGGCATCCGAGGACTAAGTTGGATTGAAATTCTTGTGCGGAAGGCCGCAAACGCCCACCTTCTGGTTTGACATACACCCGGATTTCACATCTGGCAGTGTCTCTGAAAAAACCAAACTGCTCCTCCAGAATGCTTCCACCGCTCGCTGTATCAACGAGGCCAAACATCCCTGAACCTTAAACCCTTAACCCCAAACCCTGAACCCTGAGAGTGTCGAGGCTGTGATGCACTCGAAGCTCGAGACGCCTGGGGATACCATCCGGGGGATCATCTACAATGCATTACAGGATACTGATGCAGCAGGCCTGCCTGCGTAACATAGGGCCCTTTACTTTACCATTAGAATCATTAGAATATACAGTGTGGGATTTGTGGTCTGCAGAGGGTTTGGGGTTCAAGCCTCAGCTCCAACACCTTGTCAAAGCCCAAAACCTGAATCCGGCTGGCTTGAACGCATGTCCCTCCACCGGCTGTGCCTGTGAGTGGTATGGGAATTGCCTCTGAGATCCACATGATCGCGGCAAAGATGAGTACGCCCAGAGTCCTGCTCGAAACCCCGCAGTGCCGCCGAGTTATACTGTAGCGTGTAAGCGGAGGCCTCACGAGGTATCTCAGTTGTAGGTCTATACACCAAAGACGATTCAGAACCCACAAGACCGCAAGCCCGAACACAGTTCAATCCCCAACCTGAGCCGTCCATAAACCCGGAAAGACAACCCGCCCGATGAGTCTTCCACACATGGACCCCTCCTGTGCTGCCTCATTGTGAGGGAGCTGGACGACTCCTCAGGAAGACTTTCAGGGCTTCGGAGTGCTTAGGGGGCTTAGAGTCTTCTCTTCGTTGGGGTTTAGGGTTTAGGGTTTAGGGTTCAAGGCATGAGGGTGGTAGGGTGTTACGACGGAGATAGGGTTTAGGGTTTAGGGTTTAGGGTGGTAGGGAGTTACGACGGTTAAGGTTTAAGGGTTTTAGCTGTCCCATACAAATTACTCGGTCCTGCTTGAGCTCCTGTTCTAAATTCAATCTGAGTGAAGGCTTTGTAGAAGCTGCTGCAAGAGGCTTGACTTCTCAATGTACGCGGAAACTACCTATAGTCTCCATTGACTCCATTGTAGTTCCTTTTTTGGTTTAACTAATTCTACATTAAGGATCCTAAAAGGTAACCCCAAAAAAGGAACTACTTTGGGGCCTATGGGTACAACAACAGAAGTGCCGCTAGCAGTCGCACGTCCTTTGCATTCTCTGCACCAGGTTCCTGCAGCATGGCTCCAAGGTCACCACGACATAAAGCGGAAAACCCAGAGAACCCAATACCCCTTAATTTAGGAATATAACTTAAATTATAGGGGCCTGAATATTATGATTTAATGTATATTCCTTAATTAAGGGGTGTTGGGTTCTCTGGGAGGGTCATGGTTCGTTGTGTGCAGGCCGGCGGCCAGCACAACTAGGTTCTCCAACGCCCGCAGCCATGACGACCAGCCCAAAATCGCCGCCACGAATATCCGGGCAACAACGGCCGCCGGACAAACAAAATTGCAGCCGGTGGAGGGCCACTCATGCGCAAACCTTTTCCATTCAGAATCCTTTCGCATAATTACGGGCAAGGGCTCGCGGCGGCACTGCGTCACCGGGACTACTTCCGGGGATCCGCCTGTTGCTGGTTGCAGTCTGCGCAAGAGCCGTGAACGGTACCTCGTCTTCCGGTGGCAGTCCAGACCATGCGTCTGGTCACTCAGTTATGACAGATCCGGGTTTGCCCGGCACGTAACTCTTTTCGCATGGCTTACGGTCTTGTGGCACGGGCTGCCTGTATGGGTCCAAGCCTCAACTTTCGCTTCATGAATTGGCGGCTCACAGCAACAGAAGGAAGACAACGTCAACAGCGGCACACTCTGGCAGCAGCTAACGCACCGACTCACGACCAAGTTGACACTTCAAACTCGCTGCTGCAACTGTCAAGCATGCGCACACTTCGTTAAACATACAAGGCGAGATGGAGAAGGCTGGTGGCTAGTGACATATGCACCTGTACCCGAGTGAACAACAAAATACGCCAACGCCTAAGTTATTTCCAAACAACTTTGTCGGTATCTTGGTTAGGGTTTAGAGGGTTTCAGACATTTAAGGTCTAGGGTCCAGAACCTCTAGAACCCAGCGCATGCACCAGAGACCTCATAAATGCCCCGTCCAAGAACCTAGCAATTAACCTGAGATAAGACCCAATTTGAGACCTGGTACCTAAGCCCCCAACCCAACACTTCATCTAACACCTTCAACTCAACCCAGGCTCTGTGATGAGGAAGGCGACGATGGTCGATAGCGCCAGGAACAAGCCAATCCATTGCCTGGCAGCCGAAGGGTAGGGTTTCGGGTCTGGGGTCCTTTTTGTAAGGGTGTCGTACTATACTTGGGACTTAAAAGGGACCCTGATGTAGAGAACTACCCGTGTGGCAGACATCTGGGGATCTGTGTGACACGATGGGTTATGCAGCAAGACCAACGATTGAAGCCACGACTCTCCAGACTACCACTCTAGCTGAAAGGGACTTAGTTCTATCTAGGTATATTAATCATACAAAACAGATAATCTCATGTGGGGTGCCTATGACTTATAGCTCTACTACTCTACTATGCTCTGACTAAGACCTCCTTACTACGTCCCCTGAGCCTTTAAGCAGGTTTTCGGAGGGGCTGAGCCTTGTCTTCTTTGGTCATCCCCTCCGGGTCCACGTACCTGAAAAATTAGTACATGACAGGCCCTAAACCCTAAACCCTAGGGTCAGCAGAACCCGGGGCCTCCCTTCTGAACGAATCTGCCACTGCTCTAAGAAGGAGCTCCACACAAACTCTCCGGGAAGAACCACCATAATGATATCACCCCCAAAAGGTCGCGTAGAGTGAGACGGTGAAGGGAGTTATCGTTAGGAGATTTCTGTTCCAAGCGTCGGGCCTCTGATGACCTGCAAGTCTCAAGAGAAGGGGGTGGAGCCAAGCTTGCTGGGTTTAGGGTTTAGGGTTTAGGGTTTGGGGTTTCAAGCTCCATATGGAACTCTCTATGGTCTGCGGCATGGGGCGTCATATTGAAATCCTATGTCTCTCTATCCCTTCAGCGAGCTGCCAAGGAGCAGAAAGAGCCCAAGTCGGTAGAACCCAAACTTTCTTCAACCCCTAAACCACCAAGCGCAAAAATAGAAACCTGTGCCCTAAATCCAAAGCGTGTTACACCCTGTACACCCCTGATGGACTGCGAAATTTCACCGGTTTGCTAAGTGAAGCCTCCTTGACATGTCATCGCCCCCTCCGCAATGGTCCTTCCGAGAAGGACGGCTCGGGTTGCAGCTTTATGGCTTTACTGAGCTTTACTGCCGTGGGACTTGGGGGTTTAGGGTCTTGGGGTGTCGGGGGTTTGGGCTTAAGGCTTCCTAGGGTAGTTCGTGTTCTGCTCGCCTCACTTCGTCAGTGCAGGATCAACCTCACAAACCTCGGACTGTGAACATATGCCGAGATAGAGAAGCTATCCCAAGGCAGAAACCCGGCACAGATAACACCACTACCAAGCCAGGCACAAGGATTCCCAGGAGATCACCCTCAGAGGTAATGACCTGGCTCTCCGGGAATTGGTTCCAGCGGATCTTGCAAAAATGTTTAGATGAACCTCCCTGCGGGCGCCTCGCGGCCACCGTAACCAATTCTCTTTCCCCTGAATTTTAGAAAAAAGCCATAGCGCAAAACCTTGTAGTAGTCAGCCCTAGAAAGCCCAAATCTACAAAGCGTAAACCCATAAACCCAAAACTCTACACCCTTATTCTAAACCCTAAACCGTAAAACTTACGCACCCCTAGACCCTGAAGCCCAAACCCTAAACCCCTAAACCCTAAACCCAGTCCCACGGCCCAAACACACCCAGCCTGTGACTCTTCATCCCCTTTGTAGACGCGAGCTTGGCGCCTTGGTTGGGGTTTTGGGTTGAGGCTTAAGTGGCGGTGGGTTAAGGGTTTAGGGTTCAGGGTTAGGGTTTAGGGTTCAGGGTTTATGGTTTAATGAGGCCGAGCGAGACACTGCAGCCTGTACACAATGCCCGAAACAACGTCACCCTGCGTCCTACACGCCTAACCTGTCGATGGCAGAAGATTGAAATAGGTTGAGAGTTTGCAAGTGGGATCATGGCGCGTCTGCTCAGTCTACTCTTTTTTGGAGCTCGCCAAGAGCACCTCATGCATTTCTCCTCTAATATCGGAGCCTTGATAATTAGAGCAGCCTCTTGGGACCCATTATAGTATTAATTAATATAATACGGAACTCCAAAATAATTTGGTAATTATTTAGGCCCCTACATGACACTTGTCTTTATCCGCAGAGTCCTAGTGGGTTCTCAGGCGTCTCGGGCGGCGAGAATGTGCGATAACATCTGGAGGGTTGTTTATGGCTAAAGTTTATGGTTCAGGATTTAGGAGTATGTCAGCAAGCACGAGCACAACGGAACCCGAGAGCAACAACCAGCACTTTCCTCTTTTCATTGCGAATGGAAGTGTGACGGTGGCAATCCGAAAGGGTCCCCCGAACGAGTCGGGGCCAAAGGCTCCTTCAGCCTCAGGCCCCCTCAAAAAGGTAAACAGTAGAAAAACGGTGTGGCACTGATGTGCCTGGCGAGAAAAGTCCCGCATCGCAACGAGCTAGTGGGGAACTCTCGGCCTCACCGTGCACCACTCGGGCCGTAGGTGAGGGAGTACCAAGAACTAGAATCCGAGAGGGTCCCCCGAGCGAGTCGGGGCCAAAGGCTCCCAAAGCCCCTCAAACGGTGTGGCATTGATGTGCCTGGCGAGAACAGTCCCGAGGCCGAAGGATGGCAGGCACAGAAGCGCCACACCCGGGAGTTGTTTGAGGATGACCATAGCCTCCTCAGTGAGGCTCCTCGAAGTGTTCATTTGGCTGATCTGGTGCTTTTACCCCCCACAGTAATGCCATCCTGGACCAGGGAGAAGCTGGTGTCCTGGTCGGATGGGTCATAGGTGTCTCAGTAGGAGAGTTGAACAGATCCCCGGCCCTTTTCCGCTTGACCTCCTCGACCTGGCCAATCAGTGGGGCAGGGGTCGGCTGGCAGAGCCAAGCGCTCCCAAGCACCACCTCCCCAGTCCCCTTGTTCATCCCAGTCTGGATGGTTCACGCACGTTCCTCTTGCCCCTGAGGTTCAGGTCTTGGAGCTTGGAGGCAACCTGCTCCCAAATGGACACCACCACGTTCCTTTTCTCCCTCGTGTAGAGATTCGCTGTGCTTTCAACCATCCAGTTTCCCGGTATTGACGCTTGCTCCTGGGGACTTGGAGCTGGAAGGCGCAATCGGGGATGAAGACCCGGAAGCTGTGCCACGTGAGGGAGTCCACCAGGTCGCTGAGGACGTTCAGTTTGATCAAAGCCGGCTTCAAGGCACGAAGGGATCTGTCTGTCTCCCTCCTTGGACTGGTCCGTGGTCGCAAGGCTGGTCCAAGCGGTCACCAGGTCTGCCCACCAGTCCACCCCCGTGAAGGAGTACTTGGGCACGATGAGGGGAACCGGGTTCTGCTTGATCTTATAGGCCGACACCGTTTTGGTCTGCCAATACAAGTTCAATGGTCTTGCTGGTGACCTTGGGCTTGAAGAGCGGAAGTGTGTTGGATGTCCGAAAACCGGGCACTGCATCCCAAACTGGAATCGTGTGACCCCGAGGATGTAGCGCTCAGCCAGGCTTAGCTGGGGCTCGGCTTCTTTTTCGATGGACATGCCGGAG